GAAGGAACCCCATGGTGTGGATTTTTGAAGGAAGAAAGATAGTGTTTCTGAAGGAGTTTTGTGTCTCAGAACATTACACAACACATCTGTTTTGTATTTTACTCTGTTCTGTGGAGCCTGCTTGCTCCCCTCTCCCCTCCTTTTTTCCTTCCCTCCTCCTCTCACTTCTTTCCTTTCTTTAGAGCAGATGTTCTCTGCAAATAGTTGTCAATTTCTTCCACATTCAGACTTTTTTCAAGCTTAACTGCCATTACTAGGTGTATATTTTTGGATTAACAACCATTTAACAGATCCCCTCTATACGAGTGTGAATGAAATAACTATGAGGCACACAGCAGAGTAGAAGAGGGAAATAATCATCATAAATGCTAATCTCTGTCTTGGAGGCTAACATTAGTGAGAATTTTTAGTTCTTGATGAAAAATAGCTTCAGCATTCACATTGTCTTTAGTAAACATTTAAGCACTTCTAGTATGTCATTGAAGTACTTGTTTAGAATTCTTTCAAGGAGGGTATTGGATATAAATGATTTCCAACTGAAAGCAGTAGAAAAATAACAGAAGTGTTATTTGTGTAGATGGTTCCTGATTTACGAAGGTTTGATTTAAGATTTTTAAACTTTACAATGGTGTAAAAATGACACACATTCAGCAGAAACTACTTTGAGTTTTGGATTTTGATCGTTTCTTAGGATAGCAACATTTGGTACAGTACTCTCTTGTACAGTTTGCAGCCAGCCTCGTGATTGCAATGGAAAACAACCAGGACTCTGCGGTGCACAAGGGGGCTTCTGATGTTTGGTAGGTTAGGTGCATTTAATGCAGTTTTGGCTTGTGATATATTTAATTTAGGAGGGTTTATTTGGATGTAGCCCCATCGTGAGTCAAGGAGCATCTGTAGTGGAGTTTTCTCCAACTCTGTACCATCTTACTGTCATTAACTGTTGTAGGTCCTTGGCAGATTATCCTCTTAGCCATAATGATAGAATATTATGATATTTAATGTTAAATATAAGGGGCCTAAAAAGCTAAGGTGGTAGGAGCCTGTCTTACAAGTCAAAGATTTTGAGACTTAAGCTAGCCTGTGGGTGTTAGATTTCTGAATGTTGACCTTCCACCAATGTTTTAACTTCCCCATCTTGAAGAATGTGGAGAACAAAATCTGGATAATAGATGGAAATAATGTTATTTTTATGTATGTAACTGTATTCCCTTTATTACACATGATGATCAGTTTCTTTTTTTTTTTTGGTGGGACTGGGGTTTGAACTCAGGACTTCATGCTTGCAAAGCAGGCATTCTACACTTGAGCCACACCTCCAATCAATGTTGCTGGGGTTATTTTGGAGATGGGGGTGGGTCTCCAGAACTGTTTGGCTGGGCTGACCTTGAACCGTGATTCTCCCGATCTCCGCTCCCAACTGTCTAGGATTATAGGCATGAGCCACCACTGCCTGGTGATAATCAGTTTCTGTCTTACAATGTCCAGCCTCATATAGGCTCTCTTAATCATAATCCCTTTAATTAGTGTTTAAATAGATTTTTTTAAAAAAAGAAACTAGATATACTTGTAATGATTTTTCTTGTAATTGTTTACTTAGTAACCAGCATTTCTTCTTCAGTAGGAGCTATGTGAGAAATGGCTGTCCTATTAACAGTGAAGCAATTATGTTAAGTGAGTGCAGGCCTGTAAATCACCCACCATAGTCCTGGAGCATAAAATATGCTCAGTAAATGCATATTCTTCCCACACCTGTAAAGTGGGGTCAGCTGCTGGGGGAAATCCTTCAGCCTGTGCAGGTGCTTTGGATCTGTAGGAAGAGTATAAGGCTGGATGTGGGCTTCTTAGGAAGGAACACACATAGGTCTGGCCAACAGTACCACTCTCTAAAAGAAAAGACTGAGCAAGGGTCTCACTATGTAGCCAGGCTGGCCTCAAACTTAAGATCCTCCTGCCTTAGTTTCCTGAGTACTGGGATTACAGGCATGTGTTACATGCGTTACAATGGCTCTTCTTAGCCATCCTGTCCCATTCTGTTCTGTTCTGTTGTAGAACTTCATTTAGGTTGTAAATAACAGAACCAATTAGGCAGTGACTAGGATTCAAATCTTGGTCACCATATGTACTGAATTCCTACTTGTGCCATCTGTTCTAGAGAGAAAGGAGTGAAGGGAATAGGCAGCTTTGACTTCTGCTAGGGTAGGAGCTTAAAGCTCAGGTGACTAGATGTCTCAGTTTGCCTGAGATATTACATGGTCAAGCTACTAATGAGATGGGTATTAAGAAACCAGAGGACCTGACCTAGTTTGGGAGTAGACAGAGAAGACTTCAAGGATGTGATTTTGAAGAGGAGACTGAAGAATCAGAACAAAGCACTAACGAAAGAGGGTCATGCTCTCACATGCCTCAGGGTCTTTGCACTTGCTCTTTTTTCTTCTGCTTTGAAAGGAAGATGTTAGCTGGGTGCTGGTGGCTCATGCTTGTAATCCTGGCTACTAAGGAGGTAGAGATTAGGTGGATCTTAGTTCAGAGCCTTCCCTGGGAAAATAGTTTGCAAGACCCTATCTTGAAAAACCCATCACAAAAAAAGGGCTGGTGGAGTGTCTTAAACGGAAGAGTACCTGCCTAATAAGCATGAGGCCATGAGTTCAAACCCCAGTATCATCAAAAAAAAAAAAGATATTTTCACATCTTACCCATTCGCCCTGAATATTACTGTTACATATGAAGTAGAATAGTGTTTTATAGATGGAAGGTAGCAGCAATCCATGAGTTATAAGATTAATTTGCTGAGTAGTAATCTGATTTATATGTTAGAAAATATCAAGAGTACATTGTGTATAGTAAGGATAAATATGAAATAAAGTAAAATTTATATTTGTGTTTATATAGCTGGTCACAGTATAAATTGTATTTCATAGTATAGAACATGGTCAAAACTTTAAAAATTTGTGTAGGACAAGCGAGAATGAAATCATACTGCTATTTGACCTTGTAATATGTATTTTAAATTATTTATTTAATATCTGGAGAAAGTGAAAATAGGAATGTGGCTTAAGGAAGGACTGGTTTATTTGAAGGCCTAGGTCTTCTTATGGGTTTTGGGTTTTATCCTAAGATAAGTAGAAAGTGAACAAAGTATTAGGTATTCTCATTTGGCACCATTTTTTAAAGAAAAAATCATGATTAATTATGAAGGGAATTTCGGACTAGGATTGAATAAGAGTTATCTGATAAGTGTATTCTTTTATTGAATAAATAAACTTAATTGAACACTTAATTGTCTACTCAGTTTCAGATATATGCTTATAGTATTTAATCCAAAAAATAGGCTAAGTAATACTGTTTACTGTAAACAGTAGATGAGTTTATGTTGTGTGTGTATTCAATGTCTGTTTCTTTAGGACCACACTCTGAAAAGAGGATGCCTTTTTTTTTTTTTAATTAGGACATGTTTGTTGTATGGGGGGGAAATTTCACTGTGGCAATTCCAAATAGGCTTATACTGTGCACTGGTTAGCTCACCCCTACCATCTCTCCCCCTGGACCTCTTCCCCAGAAGATGCCCTGTTTTGATGATAATGTTATTCGTACAATTTCCAGAATAAAATTTTAAAAATATAGCTAATTTGGTTTCTCTGTATTGGAAAAGAAGGTAGTTACTATTCTCCTTTTCTTTAAATGCTAGTCTTGTTTCCTTAGGAGAATAGGACATTGACAAAATTCTGAAATGCTGAAGAATTTTTAAATAAATCAACATAGAATTCTTCCATCTTAGCTGGTGCCAGCAGCTCATGCCTGTAATCCAGGCTGAGATTGGGAGGATCGCAATTAGAGGCAAAAAAAATCTCATCATACCACATGTCACCCAATAGGTGGGTAGTGGTGGTGAGCGCCTGTCATCCCAAGCTATGCAGGAGGATCGAGAGGCTGGGATCATAAGGATCGTGGTTCCCAGCCAGCCCAGGCAAAAATGTTTTTATGACCCCATCTCAACAGAAAAAAACTAGGTGTGGTGGCACAAAAAAAGCTAGGCATAGCGGCATGTGCCTGTCAACCCATTGATGGTCAGAAGCATAAAATAGGAAGGTCATAGTCCAAGCCAACCTGGGCAAAAAAGCAAGGCCCTGTCTACAAAATAACCAGAGCAAAAAAGGACTGGAGGCATATCTTAAGTGGTAGAGTGCCTGCTCACAAGCACTTAGCCCTGAGTTCAAACCTCTGTCCTGCAAAAAAAAAGAAAAGACTTCTTCCCTTGCCCTCAAATGTCCTGTAACTACTCTGGTCATGTGTTTTTATTCAAGGTAGAAATCATCAGTGTGAAGTAATCTTTCCACTTTCTGCCCTCTTTAGATTTCACCACCCAATCCTTAGTCCTTTGGAGAGCAGTTTCCAGCTGGAAGTTGATGTCCTGAATCACCTCTTGAAGGCCCAGGCCCAGATCTCTGAGTGGAAATTCCTCCCATCCCTAGTTAACTTGCACAGTGCTCACACCAAGCTGCAGACCTGGGGCCAGATCTTTGAAAAGCAGCGGGAGACCAAGAAACATCTGTTTGGAGGGCAATCTCAGAAGGCCGTTCAGCCTCCACACCTTTTCCTTTGGCTGATGAAACTCAAAACCATGCTGCTGGCCAAATTTAGCTTTTACTTTCATGAGGCTCTGAGCCGTCAAACGACTGCTTCAGAAATGAAAGCATTGACTGCAAAAGCTAACCCAGACCTTTTTGGAAAGATTTCCAGCTTCATCAGGAAATATGATGCTGCCAATGTGTCCTTAATTTTTGACAACCGAGGTTCAGAGAGCTTTCAGGGTCATGGCTATCACCACCCCCATTCCTACAGAGAGGCCCCTAAGGGTGTGGACCAATATCCAGCTGTGGTGTCACTGCCCAGTGACAGGCCAGTCATGCACTGGCCGAATGTCATCATGATCATGACAGACCGCACGTCAGACCTGAACAGCTTGGAGAAGGTGGTCCATTTCTATGATGACAAAGTGCAAAGCACCTACTTCCTGACCCGTCCAGAACCCCACTTTACCATTGTTGTCATTTTTGAGTCAAGGAAATCCGAGAGAGACTCCCACTTTATTTCCTTCCTCAATGAGCTCTCGCTTGCCCTAAAGAACCCCAAAGTTTTTGCAAGTCTAAAACCTGGATCCAAAGGTTAGCGAGGTAATTTGCAGGAAAGATTTTCAAGACTGGAAATGGTGTTCTTAATTGCTCTGATGATCAACAGTGGTCTGTGACTAGAATTTACATCTATTCCTGCTTCTTTCAGAACTAAATTAAAGACAAATCCTCTATAATTGTGTTGCATACTTTATAAGCAATTAAGGCTATTTGAATTAAGTACCCAAAGAGTAATCTAGGAAGTGATTTTGGGCTATGTGTATTTCTATGATACAGCAAAGCAGTTTCAGTATTTTTTCTGATTTTCCTGTAATTCATGTGGACTGAGTATTTATTGGCCTTTGATTTTTCTCTTATTATTCTAAACATTGTGTTCTAATGCACTTCCATAACCCTCTTTCCTCTCCTCCTTCATGGAAGAGTAATTGGGATAAGATACTAAGTAAGTATGTTTTCTGTCATAAATTAGCAGATTAATATGGTACTACTCATCTTATAATTCTGGCCTACAAATTAATATTTTTGATTCCGCTGTGAGGATCATAGTGAGGAATTTTTATCAGTGAAGCTGAAGGTGAATCAGATGGGTAGCATAACATGAGGTTCTACCAATTCTGAAGATGTTAACAGCCATGGGCTCTTTTTAGGTAATCTTCACACCTATCTGATTTATTTTTACCTTTATAAAGTTTGAGTTTTTCACTGATATAAAGCCAGCATAAGCAATGATATGGGATTTCACATATTCTCTGCCTGACCATTTATCACTTTTCTGCCGAAATGTATGTTCATGTTTGGCTCCATACTGCTTAGAAAGTATGCAGCCTTGTTTTTTGGTGTTTTTTTTTTTCAGCCACTTTTAGTTTCTCACACAACATAGTCTAGTTTTATAAAATAAAAATGAAGGTCTTGTTACCTTACACTTGCTAAAAATCAATTGTGCTTTCAAAAAACCTCTTAGTTGAGTAATCAACTTAGTGCTTAAGTACATTTGAACTTGGGTTTCTTGCCTGCCTCCTACAAATAATGTTTAGAAGCAGCACTGCATCTTAGCGTACTCTGCCTTACGGTTTTCCTGCAGTGGGTGTTTATGGGGACGTAGATGGATCAGTAAAGACATAGTGGGCTGTGGAGACCTTCACTTCTAGGTTATTGATTCAGAGTAAAAAGAAGCCCCCAATAGTAATTGAGTTGTTACTACTTGTTAATTCCTTCAAAGCTTATATAAAATGTGATGGCCGAATCAGTCTTGTTTTTCATGACTATATAGAGCCACTCTTACTGGGTATCCAATATCAGCAGAGCCAGGTTGCTGCTCGGAGTCTCTGTGGGAGGCCTGATATCTAGTCTGGATTGCCTGGTAGAAGAACCCCTGGCCTGTTTTTTAGAAAGAATATGTGTTTTTCTTTTCTTCTCTCTCTTTCTTTCCCTAAACTATCTCTCCATATGATGTTTTTTCAAAAGCCAGTTTGCTTTAAATAGAAAATAGTGATTAGTGTTTTATTCACTCAGATGCTATAAAAATATGAACAGATTTTACAGCATTGACCTTACATAAAAATTGGAACTGAAACTCAAGTCATTTTTCCTTCCCTTTTGCGTTTTGCCAGAAACTGAAAAATACTGCTTCATGTGCATGTATTTTTTTTCCCTGGATAAAACCACCATTAGCCTTAATGATATGGTTTCCCATGTACCTAAAAGAATATGTGCTTCAGTGGAACACAGAGAGGAGTGTGAAAAAACATACATACAAGGACTGGTGGAGTGACTCAAGTGATAGACCACCTGCTTGGCAAGTGCCAGGCCCTGAGTTCAAACCCCAGTATCAGCAAAAAAAAATCATATATGCAGTTTACATATTTGACTTATATATTTATTTTTAAACATAAACAAAAAGAATTTACAAAAATAGAAGGCAGATGTGAATATTGGGAAAATCTAAGAGAACATAAATTCATAATAAATCATCTGTTGTAGACTATACTGATGGAGTCTTTGAAGATTAAATATTGGTACTTTAATAATTTCTTAAGTTCTTCTTATATATATGTATTTTGGTTCAAGGCAAGAAACAAGGTCATTTTTACTCTAAGCATTTATCCACAGTAATGAGATAATCTGTAACGTGCATTTTGCTAACTGGAAGAGTAAATCACATTTTCTGTGGATTGCCTTCTTTGAAATTTATTTCTGAACCCATGCCTGATGAATTTTTATAGGTAACTGGAGTGTGATCAACACTGAATTTGCTAAGGGGACCATTAAGGAGTGTTTCATTTTAGGATGCTGTTTGGACATAGGGTAAACTTTCACAGCTTTTCCTTTCTTGAGTTCAACCTGGTATTTTGTCATTTTAGAAATAAAACCTAATTCTTTTTTTTTTTTTTTCATTTTTCTTTTATTATTCATATGTGCATACAAGGCTTGGTTTATTTCTCCCCCCTGCCCCCACCCCCTCCCTTACCACCCACTCTACCCCCTCCCGCTCCCCCCAAACCTAATTCTTAAGGTTTTATTTATTCTCCTCCTCTCAACTGAGGAGTCAGTACCCTTCCTATATATAATTGCTTGTACATTTGGACATTTCGGGGAAATTTTGCTTTCAAGAAGAAAATAGTTAGTACTTCACTGCACTTCTAAGGGATTCACCTAGGTGATCTTTACATACAATATGTCCACCCTTTTAACCTAGCAACTAGCTTGTGGTTCTGGGTTTTTTTTTTTTTTTTTTTTTTTTTTTTAGCAAGTCAGCTCTGAGATCACCTTCCTTGTCTATGTATAGTGGGGATAAGAAAATGTGGGCTGCCTTTTTCAAAGGAAGCCTAAGGCTATAAGGAGATTGTGCATGTGACAAAGGCTTTGAAAACTTACGGGGACTTGAAATCTGTATGAATAAAAGATAAGCCAGTCTTCCCTTAAGCTTGATACTTCCCTCTCTTCAAGTCTGTGGCAAACCTGTGCTTTGTCATGAAGTTTGAACAGTAGTGGAAGAATTTCTTAGGAAGGAGATGAGGCAGATAAATGCAGAACCAGTACACCCACTCTTCCTGTTTTACAATCTTTGTTCCCAAAATTTTATGGTGGGTTGATAGCATCATTTCAGCTCTTCTATATCACTGATTTTTGGTCTGGTTGTTCTATCAGTAACAGAGAGGAGAGTTAAAATTTCCGTATGTGGGGCTGGAGGCATGGCTAAAGTGATACAGTACCTGCCTAGCAAGCATGAAGACCTGAGTTCAAACCCCAGTACCACACACACACACACACACACACAATTTCAGCTGTGAATGTGTGTCTTTCTTCTAGGCATTACCTAGACAGGTTATAAAATAGTGAAATTTTAATTACATTTTCCCTTTTATTGATTAGCTAGAACATATATATAAATAGAAACTTTACCACCAACTATTGGGTTACCTTGAAGTACAGTTCATGTAGGAATAGTTAGGCCTTTGAGTGTTTTGCCTTTTTCTCATCTGGTTTTCTTTCCTTATGATGCTGGAGATTGAACCCACTTCCTCAAACTTGTTAGACAAGTGTTCCATCACTGAGCTACATCCCCAGCCCTTAAACCAGTATTTAAAATAGTTCCTTATCATCTTCCAGAGACAGTGGAGAATCATAAAAGAATATATAAATTATGTATATATAATATATATATGAATTTATAAGGATTTTTGCCTCATGTTTAACCTTAAATTTGAAACAAAGTAGCCATCTTCCCCCTTTCTACTCAATACTTTCATGTAAATATTACTTTCCCTTATTTCTTCCACCTGGTTTATATTCTCTCTTCATTAATGCTGGTCATTTTCCTCCACCTTTTCCCTTCCTCTCTCCCTCCTTTTGGCTCCCTTTCCCTATGTTCCTCCCTTCCTTAGATTCTGCTATCTTTTCCACCAATTCTACTCTTGTCACTTTTTCCCATCTGTCTCAGGGAGCCAGAATATGGCCCAGTGATCATTGACTGTTTTGTGAAGCAGCAGCTGACAGTGTTCATTTTGGTTGTCTTTGCAACCAGTTAGTCTTTTCCAGGCACTGAGACAGAAATATGTAACCTGGAAAGCTTAATGTTGACACTAATGGGGTGACCATGATGGAGCTGAGCCTTTCATGAACACAGGACCCCTTTCACTAATTACTACTAAACAGTGCCGTTTGTACCTAACAGATTTGGCAGAAAAGCAACTCAAAACCACAATCTTCCTAAGTATACTTTAATAATGTAATTTTCATTAAATAAAAAATTTTAATTAAAAAAAACTATTTGCTAAAGTGTGTAAAAGCACTAAATTAGCTTCAGAAATTTTCAAAGTTGAAGAAAATAGTTTTTTTTCCTCATGTTTAAGAAAGAGAAAAAAAAAAAAAACCCCACATCATATGACTCTCAGAAAGCCCTCTAGGTAGTTTAATTTAGCAATTCTCTCTTCTTTTCTACTAGGTTCCTGTTGTCAATGCAATTATTTCATGGCCTTTTGCCTGAATTATTATAAATGGCTTCTCCAGAGGAAATGAGTCATAAGAAATAGGCTTGATATGCACTTTTGCCTTTGGAAACTTCTCTTGGTATCCTGTAAAACTATAAGGCTTCATTAATGCAGGTGTTTTGACTTGTCTGCATTTTTTTTCAATCTGCTTTTAATAACAAGGTCTGTTTATGGGTGCTTTAAATTTAAAACCATATGATAGGTAAAGATATTAATACTAGAAAATGGACAGAGGCAAATGGTCACCCCTTTCTGTAGCCCCATGGGTCACATCAGAGTCTGGGGGTGAGGCTCTGAAAATGATATGATTCAGGATGGGTCCTGAGAGGTAACTGTGCTGGAGTAAATTCTGATAGAGGGCTGCTTAGCACGTAATGGCAACAGAAAAAAACATAAGGTGGCACTTGACATTGATCTAGGAAAGAACACAGTCATTGAGACTTCTGCTAACATTGTCGCCAGTGTTAATTCTACTTTTGCTAGTCGGGGAACTGCAGAGTGATTCTGGAATGCATGAAGATCTGATTCCTTATTTGATCTGAGATTATAACGACTCAGATGGTTGACCTTGTAGGTTAGATCTAGGTTTTTTACAATTTTGTTGTGATAAGATGTGACAGTGTAGCACACATCCCAACCCCTAGACTCCTGGTGTCACTCCAGCCCAGGCCAGTGTTAGAGTTGTCCTCCAAGCAGAAACAGATAGAGGGTATGAATGACTCTAGGATTCAACAACCATTCATTTAACAACTGCTAAACGTTGTGCTAAGAATGGTAATGTAAGTTAACCAAGACCACACCTAGCTTGGTTGGTGTTTGTGTTAAGGTGATCTTGCTCCAACCACCCAGACGGCCAAAGCTGAGAAGGCTGCAACAGGAAGGCAGTAGATAGTTTTCAGACTCATCCAGTTGCATGCCTCTCTACTAATTTTGGCAAAACTGATGCTGAGAA